CGGGAGGGCTGGAGACCACGAGGCAAGGAAATGAATGAACTTTTCATCCAGCCTCTGAATCTCAGAAAACTGCCCCTGTGGCTGTGGCAGGGCCCTCTGAAAAAAGCATGAGGTGATGGCAAAAAAGTGTATGTGTGTGTGTGTGTGTGTGTGTGAATATGTGTGTACATGTGCATGTGTGTACACATGTATTGTGTGCCTGTGTATATGTGTGTGTGCATGAATCTGTGGGTGTGTATATGTGTACATATGAGTTTGCATGTATGTGTGTATGTATGTGTGTGTGAATATCTGTGTGCACGTACATATGTGTACACAAGTATGTATGTGTGTATGTGTATGTATGTGTGTGCATGCATCTGTGTGTGTACATATATGAGTTTGTGCATGTGTGTATGTGTGTGATTATGAGTGTACATGTGCATATGTATGCACACATTATATGTGTGTATGCATGCATCTGTGGGTATGAGTATGTGTACACATAAGAGTGTGTGCGTGTGTGTGTATGTGAGCTGGCAGCACTGCTCCGCTGTTTAGCGTGGCCTCCACGCCCTTGTAAGTTGAAGTAATGACGCCCTTTTGCAGTGCTTGATGAAAGGCCAGAGAAATGCAGTTGCTCACCAATGGTCACAAAGCAGAGGTTGAACTTGGGCTCAGACTGTCTGTCCCATCTCCAAGCTCCCAAGAAACTGGACACAAGATAAAGAGCTTGTGCCTGGGGCTACTTTTAGAAGATTTGGGGGCCGTCGGTGCAGCTCAGTTAGTAGAACGCCTGCCCAGCATGCATGAGACCCTAAATTCGGTTTCTAGCACCTGCTAAACCCAGTGTGGTGGCACATGTCTGCAATCCCAGGTCTTGGAAACTTAGAGGCAGGAGGATCAGAAGCTCGTGGTTATCATTCCTCTGCATAGCAAATAAGAGTGAGACCTGGGCTCCACGAGACACTGTGTCAAGGAATAGGAGGAGATGAAGAGGAGGAAGAGAAAAGAAAATCTAGGCAAGGGGTGATTCGTCCTCTCTCCCCTTTCACCCCTGTCACCACTCCAAAGACTGTGTCCCTCTAGTGACTGATGAAAATCCAAGACTTTTTTTGTTTTGTTTTGTTTTGTTTTTGGAGACAGGGTTTCTCTGTAGCTTTGGAGCCTGTCCTGGAACTAGATCTTGCAGACCAGGTTGGCCTCGAACTCAAGGAGATTCACCTGCCTCTGCCTCCTGAATGCTGGGGATTAAAGGCATGCGCCAGCACCACCAACAAAATCCAAGACTCTTAACAGCTTCTAACCCTCGTTACTTCAAAATAGGAGCGAGGATGTTTTGTTGTTATTATTTATTTATTTATTTATTTGTTTATTTATTTTGATGTAGAGTGAGCAGGAACCAGCTGTTCTGCACAGCCAGGGCCACCCTCCCCTCCCCTACCCAACTGTCAACAGATAGTTAGCTGTTCTGTTGACAACCCAAACATGTCTCTGGTCTTGGCAGCTAGCTGGCACTGGTGTCATTACTGGCCTCACATGTCCACACCCCACTGGGAGCACCAGGAAGCTGAGACACGGATATCAGGGGTTCCTGTGCTAAGGATAAGTTCCTCCCAAATGCACTAGCCCTACCTGCCAGTCTCCCCACCCACGAGATCCTTCTCCTCTGTCTTAGGTGCCTGAGGAGCAGAGGCAGCTGTCCTGTCAGAGCAGGGTCTGAAGCCAGAGCAGACCTGCCGTTCAACTCCTTCCTTGACCAGAGCCTTGGCCACTTCTGTCCTATGGGCCTTGCAGCATGGGTCTGCCTGCCTTCCATTTATCCAAGTCTGCCAGGCCTAAACATCACCCAGGAGGCACTTTGTGAATGGATTCCTTACTCTGGCCTTCAGGCTAGATGTGCAGGAGCCGAGGGGAAAGAATTTCTGGTCCTCAGAACTCCACATCAGAATCATTTAATTGATATATTGTATTATATCATATTGTATTATTAAATAAGGTTTATTTGGGGTCAGAGAGATGGTTCAGCAGTTAAGAGCATTTGTTCTTGCAGAGGACCCTGGTTCGACTCCCAGTCCCCACATGGATAATTCACAGCCATCCATAGCCCATGTCCAGGGGATCCAACACCCTCTTCCGGCTTCCATGAGCACAAAGTATTCACATGGCACACATGCAGACGAAACACATACAAAATCAAAAAATGAATAAATCTAATAAAAATGTAAAAGTTTTATTTTATTTTTAATGTCTGCATGTGGGTGCATAAGTGTGGTGCCCACAGAGGTCAGAAGTGGGTGCTGCATCCCCTGGAGCTGAAGTTATTAGGTGGTGATGAGCTGCCTACTGTGGGTGCTGGGAACCAAACTTGGGTCCTCTGCAGAAGCAATAGGCTGAGCCATCTCTCCAGCTTCCCAGGTCAGAAACGTGGGGAGCACCTGTGTTTGTGAAAATGCTCCCAGGAGGAAGATGCCCCAAATTCAAGAGACTGGACCAGCATCCTTTCTGGAGTTCTTGGCTTTTGAAAAACATACACTTTATTATTCTGTGTGTATAAATAAATGTTTGCCCCCTTGTATATCTGTGTGCCACATGCATGTCTGATGCTCCTCGAGGGAGCCAGATCCCCTGGAGCTGGAGTTACAGAGGGTTGTAAGATACCACGTGGCTGGGAACTGAACCCTGGTCCTCTGGAAGGGCAGCCAGTGCTCTTAACTGCTGAGCCATTTCCCAGCCCTTGGGGTTCTTGTTTTCTGGCAGTCTCATACCTGTGTGCTCTGCACTCGGATCTCCCTCACTCCACCCCATGGTCCCTTCAGTGTCACTCAATGATTCCCTTCCTCCTAACTCACCCCCCGCCCCCGCCGTTCCGAACATCCCTCTTTTCCCCCAGGTCCCAGGTAGACAGACAAAGATGCTCTGTGCTGGTGTTTGCAAGGTCGTTGTCCTACGCAGGAGACAGCACCCCACCCCGTGCCTCCCTCCCTATCCTTCCACTGCCACCGTCCTTCCACCCCCTCTCCCATGACGTTCCCTGGACTTTGGAGAGGCCATTTAGGGTCATTGAATAATGACCTCCAACTTCCTAGGAAGCCGAGACTGGTCTTGAACTCCTGGTTCTCCTGGGGTGACGGGCACATGTCACCACACCCAGTGATGACCTGGATCATCTCTGAAGCTCCTCCTATTCCTGTGATCTGACAGAAGCGTGCCTGGTGTCAGAGAATGACCTCGGTGACCTTTTGAGGTCCCGCCTGGCCACTGAAGCCAGAGGACTCAGTATTTGTGTAGATGACTCCTCAGGGATGTGGGGAAAAGGAGGGGACTGGTGGGCGGGTGTGGGGGTAGAGGGAGCTGACACCCAGCAGCAGTGACTCAGGCCCTCAGCACCGTGACGGTGACAGCGTGTCTGCTTTTAGCTGTTGGCTCTTGTTTCCCTGGCAGGCTGCTCTGGGGGGGCCCCCATATGACCCCATCTTTTTCCATCTCACCTCAGTCCCGGTGACCCCCTGAATGAAGCCCTGCCAGCCTCTCTTCAGCAAGGATAGCCAACACGGAGGACCGTGGTTCAGTTCTAAGCCCCCACATGAGTAATTCCCAATCATCCATAACTCCAGTTCCAGGGGATGTCAGTGGGTGACAGATCCTTGTAACTCCAGCCATCACTCTGACCCCCAGTTCTGCCCTGCCCTGTCCTGACTGTATTACCAGGGATGCAGCTCCAGTCTTGGCTCTGTGAAGCCAGAGACAAGAGGCACGGTCCTCATCTTCAGGAACTTCTGGGTGAGTGAGGGGGGGAGAGGAGATTCTGCCCCAGAGGCAGGGATGAGGGGTACCAAGAGAAGGGTCAGAACTCACGAAGACTATCTCACACTGCAGGTGCTGGGGACTCGGGACAGAAGGAGCCCTGTGAAGTCCTGAGCAACTAGAAGCTTCCATGGGAGAGAGGAATGGGGTGATTGATTATATGGGAAGAAAGGTCAAGACTTGTGTTCCAAAACTGCTTGATGGGTTGATGGAACACCTGCCTCCGGAAAGTGCCTCCCCTGGCCTCTGTTCCCCTGCCCAGTGTCATGCAGTCTGGGGTTCTACTCAGTGAAAAGAAAGGGGCCTTCTTGGACACAAGGGTCAGGCACATCTGGGGTGGAATCCCAGCCATTCTAACGTGCTCAGACCCAGCCCTTCCCTTCCTCGGAGGCTCATTTTCCTGGTCTAGAGGCTTTGTTGGGAAGGGGCAGCAGTGCCCAGAGACACCCTGGGAGCCACCAGCATTCTCTTTGCCTGGATGTGATCTCCTATGACCATGATCCCAGGCAGACAACTCCTCTGAGTCCGAGATGGAGCAGACTCTTGCCAACAACCTAGACTCCTAGATCTTTAAGGATAATTGTCGAATTATCTGCCCCTTCCCTGAAGCTGGGCCCAACCCCCTAGCCCCACCTCCAGCTGCCTGCTTTCTTCTATTCTGCTGCTAAAGGTTCTGAGAGCAGGGATGTGGGGAACGACGACATAGAATCGGGGTCCCTGTGGGAGTTGACAGGGGTCATCTATGCACTCCAATTCCCCTCCCTGGGCTGTCTCAACCTTTCTGAAGAGATAGCTGATTCTGGAGCTGCTAGTATCCCACAAACAGTCCAGCAAGGTTCTTGCACGCGCCTGCTCCTCAGGAGTCAGATAACGGAGCCACAGGCCCTGAGAATCAGTCTAAGAGGAGAGTCAGGTCCCTGGCTAGGGAGGGAAACAGCAAACCACAAAGTCCTGGGGCAGGCACAGGGCAGGACCCACCCCCTGCCCTGGCCGCTACAGAGGCCCTTGGGGCTGGAGCTCCGGTCTTGGAGTGCCAGGCGATGAGCTCAGCCCTCCAAGCCGGCCCTTGTGTGTCAGGCTGTCAGCAGGGCCATTTCTCCCAAGAAGATTTCCAGGCCCCTCTGGGCCATGAAGAGGACTAAATTTAGCCAGCAGACAAGGGGCTGGCCTTGAGCCCAGGGACGGCCGGGCCTTATAAAGCGCTGGCAATCTGGGCCCCGGCATGCTTCCCTGGAAGTCTGCACCCACACGCTTCTCCAGTCCAGCCCCTGCCTAGACAGGGTCCCTGCTGCCTGTGGATGAGCCACCGGACCTCCTCCGCCTTCAGAGCGGAGAGAAGCTTCCATTCTTCCTCCACCTCCTCCTCCTCCTCCTCCTCTTCTTCGGCCTCCCGAGCCCTCCCAACCCAGGACCCACCCATGGAGAAGGCTTTGAGCATGTTTTCTGAGGATTTTGGCAGTTTCATGCGGCCCCACTCGGAGACCCTGGCCTTCCCAGGCAAGTGCGGGAAGGGGAGAGACACAGGTGGGAAGGTCTGCTCCATGGCATCGCTGAGTGGGTTATAGCCACTCCTCTGCCAGGAATAGGTGCTTGCTGCATGGGTTCCAGCCACATGTGGCTGCCATGGCAGACCTGGCCACCAAGACAGATCTGTCTGTGACACAGGTGGGCTTCCTGGAGACAATGGCGAGATACGAATCCAGTAGTCTCACATGGCCCATGTCCTGATGGGAACCCTGGAGGGCTGGCTGGGGCTGAGGGGTGGCTGGCCCCTCAGAGCTTCTAGGTCTGGATGGAATTACTAAAGGAGGGACTTGCATGCATAGATTACATGTTGGATAGGGTGAGGCTCACCCCTCCCAGCCCTCCCACCCCCGACAAGGTGAGCTGCAAGAATGAGGAGAGGAGCTATTGTCTGGGAGAGCCACTCCTTGCCCCAAGAGAAGAGTGGAGACCCAGGTTTGGGGTTCAGGGCTTGCTGGGTGCCCAGCTTATAGCAGCTCTGCCCACAGCCCGTCCCGGGGGCCAAGGCAACATCAAGACCCTCGGGGATGCCTATGAGTTTACCGTGGACATGAGAGACTTTTCCCCTGAAGACATTATTGTCACCACCTCCAACAACCACATCGAGGTGCGAGCGGAGAAGGTGAGTCTGGACTCTGCTCCACCCCAGAGTTCCCACCTTCCCCTGGACTCTGCCTAGTCTAGCTGCTCTGGGTCCCCTACTGGCAGCTGCCTTTGGAGACCTCATACCCTGACCCATGTTCCTTCCCTGTCTGTACTTCCCCCAGGGCAAACTGCAGTCTGTTCCCAGTGGGCACATCAGTCAGGGACCTGCATGTCTCTCTCCAACCTAAGGTTCACAGAACCTATCTTCAGGAGCCCATGTCGTGGCACCTGGGAGCCTCCAGAGATGAGAGAGGGATCTTGGGATGTGGGCAGAAGGGAGCCGGAGTGGTTGAGACATGATTGGGTGAGGGAGATCATGGTGGAATAAGGAAAGCTCCTTGGCAGAAGGGAGAGGAAGGTGGCAGTGACCGAGCCCACCTGGGCAGCCACTCACGCCACACCTCACCCCTCTTTCATCCCAGAGCCAGAAGTGTGGGTCCTGTTTTGGCACCCCCACACTGGGCCTGAGGCTGAAAGGGAGCCACGAAGCTCAGAGCCACACCCACCCTGGACCCCACTTACTTTACCCGGAGTCTCATTGGCTAGCTCATCGGAGAAGGCACTGCCAGCACAGATAGTGGCTGCCCCAGTCCCTAGGGCCATGCTGATTCTTAGAGGATATTTGCCAAGGCCTCCTTGACCACCCCACAAGTCTGCCTAGCTCCCCTAACTCAGGCTGGACACTAGGAAGCCCTGCCAGAGGTTCGAGGACTGTGGGCCACTGGTGGCACGTGCCAGCCCCGCCAGCCCCACGTCCCAGGGTGACTCAGCCAGCCGATGCTGCTGGACACTATGTGCTAGCTGGGCTGCGGGGGAGGGTGGTGGCTCTGGTCGTGGACACTCAGGGTGTCTAGGGATCCAGAGGGCACAGTTGTGTCATTTCTCCCCCGCCCCCCATGGCTCAAGAGTCCCAGTCTTCCAGCTACTTCTATGGAAGCTCAGCCCTTACGGAGCCCCACCTAACCCCATTCTATATTCAGTTTCCCCGGGACCTCTGGGCCCCTCTGCAGAGCCCTTGGCAGTGGTGTAACTGGGGACACAGAGCAAAGAGGAGGCTCTGGCTTGATTTGGGCATGACCAGGACCCAGGATGGGATAAGGGCTGGGATGGTCACTCCTGACCTGTCACCCCTTCCCCAGCTGGCGGCTGATGGCACAGTCGTGAACACCTTCGCTCACAAATGCCAACTACCAGAGGATGTGGACCCTACATCAGTGACCTCGGCCCTCCGAGAGGATGGCAGCCTCACCATCCGGGCACGGCGTCACCCACGCACGGAGCACGTCCAGCAGACCTTCCGGACGGAGATAAAGATCTGAGGGTCTCCCCACCCTTGCCCTCCCCCCATCTCCTCCTCAACCGGCCTGCTGCTGAGGTCATCCTGACCCCTGACAATGGCCCCCAGAACATCTCAGCCTAGGCTCCAGTCACCCCACACACTCTTAGGCCCCAGGTGGGTCACTCCCTCCCCCCCAAACTAGGGCCCTCCTCTCCACCTGGGGCAACCCCACGACCCTCATCCAGATAGGACCTCCCTATCTTAGTTCACAAATAGAGGTGTTGAAGTATGGACTTGGGGAGAAAGATGGGGACCGAGCCTCCAAGCAATTGACCAGAGCACAGAGAGACATGGATGGCATCTCTGCGGAGCAGGGGACCAGGGACCCTCCTGGCAAGTGGAATATAAGAGTTGGCCGCAAGCAGTGCTGCTGGCCTAGGCGGACTGCCTCAGACAAGCCAGAGAGATAGCCATGACAGCCACCTCCCCAGGGCTGCAACTCTCCAAGCCTCAAACCCAGGGCTACCTGTCACTCTGGGCCTCTGTCAGCTACTTGTGCCAGGCAAGGCCACCTGCACCCAGGTGGGCCTCCTATCTCCAGCTGCTGGTGCCTTAGGCCAGACTGAGTCTTCTCCTTCTTAGTAGAGACCTAGGATCCTGGGCAGCTTCCCCTGCAGAGAAGGGCCCCTGGGGACATGAGAGCAAGAGCTCCCCGGGATTTGCTAATCCACCAATCTACCCACACATACCCTGAAACATTCACTCCCTTTGGTTCAAGCCCAGTTCGAACCATCCTAAATCAGATTTAGCATCTCTATTTTCATCAATGGGGACGTAGCATCTCTGAGCCTCTGAACCATTTGGATGCTCGGTTTTGCCGCTGAAGGTTGGCTCTGAACCCAGCACTGCTTCAACTGCCCTCAGCCTCTCACCTCTGTGCCCTGGGGAGCATCCCCCTGACTCCACAGGCCCTCCTTCACATGTCCACTGCACAGGGTGGTCACAGGAAGAGCCCCAACCCAGATCCCTGCTGCCCTCCAAGTCCAGGACAAAGACCCTTGTGTGTGGGTGTGGGATGGTGGGGTGGGGTGACCAGGGCTCTGACCCTGGCTCTGTCTCAGTCTCCCACAGTAGAAGCAGGTGTGTGAGAGGGGGGAGCTCACAGTTAGCTGGGGTCCTTGGGGCCTCTGACTCCTGCTATCTTGGGACCCTGGGGACAGGGAGGGTGGGGGTTCACGGGAATCTGGTCTCTACAACCTATACACAATAAAAGGACAGTATGAGAGACATGTGGAGACCCCACCTGGAGTTCTACCTGAGAGAGGAGACTGAGTGGGCGGGGAGGACATCGGGACTGGGGAGAGAAGCTTAAGGCTGGAAATGTCTCCCCAAACCTGCCTGCAGAAATCCGGCGTTATTCTACAGAAAGGCTTACAGCACCCTGTCTCCCTGCTGCCTGCCTTTCCCTTTGTATTCATTCTGTAGTTCAAGAGGAATGTCTGAGCTGGACTGTGTACCAGCGCTGCATTCGACGCTGTCCCAAGCCAAGGGCCACAACGTCCCTTCTCGAAGTCCCTCCCCTCGATGGGGCCTCTGAGTCCCAGCGAAGCTAAGTGATAGGCCTAAGGTCACACAGCTCCGAAGATACAACCAACTGGGGTAGGGTCAACCGCAGGGAGAGGTGCTGGATGGCTGTAAGCCTGGAGGGTTCTGGGGTGCAGGTGGGCGGGGGTGGGGTGGGGGAGGAGTGGAGTGGGAATGGGGGAAGGGTCTCCTCGCTCCTACTGAAATCAGAGTAGCCAACTCTGCTCCCCAGAGCAGCTCCGCTGGCGACCGCGGTCGGAGCAGGGAGGGGAGGTGGGGGTGCAGTATTTCCAGCCTCGTGAGTCACGAATTCCGCTGGGTTATTTGCAGCCCCAACACTCATCAGCGCGGGGCTGGGGCGTGGGGCGGGACTGATAGCCTTCCCCAGTCGCCCCCGACCCGAGGTCAGGTTCACCTTGGCGAGAAGACCACAGCAGCCAGCCGGAAAACCAGCACTGGAAGGGCGACTGTCCTCAGCGGTGGGTGGGGGTGGGCTGGGGTGGGTGCCTGTCTCCCCCTCACAGGTCGCAGTCCCTGCCCAGGCAGCTTCCTGCCGCTGGAAACCGGGTCCTTCTGGTCTAAGGGAGCCCAGGGCTGAGCCAAGGTGACCCCGCTGACCGGGAGGGCGGGCATGTGGGGGCGGCCATCCAAGAATCTCTCTTCTCAGCTCCGCCTGCTGGGGCACCACGCTGGCCCACCCTTTCTAGACTAAATATAAGCCTGGCTGCAGGCCCAGCAACCTGCCCCCACTGATGGAGCTTAATCCAGCGAGCCCCATCCATTGAGTCCCCAGTATGTGCGAAGCACCCCAAAAATCCTATGAGCAGGATGCTATTGTCGTCTGGCACAGATGGATGTGGAGGTTCGGAGAGGTCAAGCAAACATCTCTGGGATTTGAATCTTTGCCTGAGGCTCAGGATAACTCTCCACTGGGTCAGCCCAGACCAGCATGCTCCTTCTCCCCCAGACATGGAAGCCCCTCCTTCTGCTGAAGGAGAGTCTGTGAAGAGAGGAGGATTCCTACATCTTGTTACTTCAGGAAAACGCCTGTGTATCAACCACAAGAGGATGAAAAGATGTAGCCCTCAGAGACCAGAGGCCTCCTGAGAAGCCAAGCCAGGTGCTGCCCCAGGTATCAGGGAATGAGGTCTCCACAAGGCTTCTGGTTTCAAAGGCTCCTTCCTTCCACAGCCACAGACCCGAGAGTTTAGTCTCAAAAGCAGGGTCCTGACTGGGTGTTGATTCTGGAGTCTGGAGGTTTATGTCTGAAATTCTAGAGCTCTGGGACCATTGCAGGTGGATCAAAAGTTCAAGGTATCCTTGGCTACACAGTTTGAGGCTAGCCTTGGGCTGCATTAAGGCCAGTCTAAAACAAAACAAAGAAAAATTACAGAGTCCCAAGCCTGAGGTGCGAGCGTCTCCTTCAAGACTGACTTCAGCGGTGTTTCGACCATGCAAATAGCACGTGCCCGGTGCTGGGAAGTCGGCCCATCCATTGGCGTGTCCAGGCCAAGCCTCACGGATTCAGTCCAAATCCTTCATACGATGGTGAGCTCCAGACTCAGAGAGGTCTGGGACCTCACCCAGAGTGACACAGTGAGAGCATTCACGTAGTTCAGTAATAAATGTGGGATCCTTGAACTCCCGCTGTAGTCCCGCTCTCTTCTCCCAGACCAGTGCCCCTTGTGAGCTCTCTACTTCCCAGTCTGTCCCTCTTGATCCCAGACCTGGCACAGAAGCGATCAAAGGAGTGGAGGGACCCTTGTGGGCCCTGGAGGCAGATCACCTAAGGGCCAAATCTTGGCTCTACTGTCTCTGAGCAACGTGTCATTGTGGAAGTAGCTTAACCTCTCTGTGCTAGGGTAACCACACCGTCCCTAGCACAGCAGGATTTGTACTTGGGCCGGTCCTTTGCTCCAGGGAAAAGCCACTGGGGGTGGAGCTTAACCCCCATTCCCACCCTACCGCCCCTCCCCTCCGAGAAGATGCCTTCCCAGCCCTAGGGTGGAGGTAGGAAGCCCCTGGACACCTTAGTTCTCTCAACACGAACAGAAAGCAGGTCCTTGCCTGGGGCCGTCCGTGAGACTGAAACCATTGAGAGTGTGCAAGAACGGGTCTCTCCCCTCCAACAGCTAAAGAACTGAAGGGCAGGAAAGGTTTGGAAACCAAGCAAAGCCAGAGTTTACGCAGAGGGCAATTTTATTAGAAGAAAAACCCCAGGGCAGGCAGCTGCCGATCTCAGTAGGAGGAGAACGGGGAGGAGCAAAACAAAACAAAACAAAACCCTGGCGGCGCATCACCTAAGCTGTCTGGAGGTCAGCCACCTCAGCAAGTGGAGAGGGGGACTCTAAAGCAGTGGTTCTCAACCTTCCTAACGACTGCAACCCTTCAATACGGTTCCTCATATTGTGAGGACCCCCAATCTGTTGCTACTTTGTAACTCTAACTTTGCTACTGTTATGAATCTTAATGTAAAAGTCTGTGTTAGGCGACACCTGTGAAAGGGTTGTTTGACCCCCAGGGGGTTGCGACCCACAGGTTAAGAACCGCTGCTTTAGAGACAGACTGAGAAAGCCCTGTGTACCCAGAACAAGTGTACTGCTCTGTGCAGCATCTGAAGGGGAGGGAGAGAAAAACACAAGAAGCTAAAACTGGACCTTGCTGAGTCAAGTTTCAGGCAATCTCATGGTGGTCATAGGGGCTGTGCTAGAGTCAGGAATGCTAAGGACAAGGACATCCTCTCATTGAAGGGATAAATATTCTGCCTGTCTGTTTAGCGTGGCTTAATGTGAGACCAGCTTCTTAGGAGCACTGGTTAGTTTTATCAACTTGCCACAAGCTAGAATCATTTTAGAAAAGGGAACTTCATTAACTTGTACCCAAGTGTGCAGTGCATTTTCTTAATTGATTATTGATATGGGAGGGCCCAGCTAACTGTTGACACAGCCACCCTTGGGCTGGTGATTCTGGGTGCTATAAGAAAGTAGTCTTGCTGGGCGGTGGTGGTGCACGCCTTTAATCCCAGCACTCGGGAGGCAGAGGCAGGCAGATTTCTGTGAGTTTTGGGCCAGCCTGGTCTACAAGAGCTAGTTCCAGAACAGGCTCCAAAGCCACAAAGAAACCCTATCTTGAAAAACCAAAAAAAAAAAAAAGCAGTCTGACAAGAACTTTAAATCTTTGAAGGAAGAAATTGAAGAAAACATCAGAAAGTGGAAAGATCTCCCATGCTCTTGGGTAGGTAGAATTAACGTAGTAAGAATGGCAATCTTACCAAAAGCAATCTACAGATTCAATGCAATGCCCATCAAAATCCCAGCAAAATTCTTCACAGACCTCGAAAGAATGGTACTCAATTTCATATGGAAAAGCAAAAAAACCCAGAGTAGCCAAAACGATCCTGTACAATAAAAGAACTTCTGGAGACATCACAATCCCTGACTTCAAACTCTATTATAGAGCTATAGTAGTGAAAACAGCCTGGTATTGGCATAAGAACAGACGAGGACCAATGGAACCAAATAGAAGACCCGGTTATTAATCCGTGTGCTTTCAAACACCTGATTTTTGACAAAGAAACAAAAAATAACAAATGTAAAAAAGAAAGCATATTTAACAGGTGGTGCTGGCATAACTGGATATCAACATGTAGAAGAATGAAAATAGACCCATATCTATCACCATGCACAAAACTCAAGTCCAAATCGATCAAAGACCTCAACATAAAGCCAGCCACACTGAACCTTATAGAAGAGAAAGTGGGAAGTACACTTGAACACATTGGCACAGGAGACCACTTCCTAAATATAACCCTAGTTGCACAGACACTGAGAGAAACAATTAATAAATGGGACCTCCTGAAACTGAAAAGCTTCTGTAAAGCAAAGGACACAGTCAACAAGACAAAATGACAGCCTACAGAATGGGAAAATATCTTTACCCAACCCCACATCAGACAGAGGTCTGATCTCCAAATTATACTAAGAATTCAAGAAATTGGCCATCAAAAGAACAAATTACCCAATTTAAAAAAAATGGAGTATAGACCTAAACAGAGAACTCTAAACAGAGGAATATAAAATGGCTGAAAGACATTTAAGGAAATGTTCAACATCCTTAGTCATCAGAGAAATGCTGCTGTATCATGCTCAGTAAAAATCTCTGGGGTGCCCTTCTGAAAGAGGACCCGGTCCCATTTACCCAGGGGCTGTGAAATAATATTTTTGTACACTGTGAAGATGTGTCACTTGGATTGGCTTAATAAAAAGCTGAACATCCAATAACTAGCAGGATTCTTGGGGTAGAGAGAACACTGGGAAGAAGTCAGAGTCACCAGCCAGGCTCAGGAGAAGCAGGTCATATAGGAGATGAGGTAACAAGCCCCACGTAAATGAATAGAGATGGCTCAGTTTAAGTTGTAAGAGCTAGTTAGTAATAAGCCTAAGCTACCAGTAAGCTATTAATATTTCATGATTAATAAGAAGTCTCTATGTGGTTATTTGGGAGCTGGCTGATGGGATAGAGAAAAAAATCTGACTACACCCAGGAACTATCCTGAGACCACAGATGTCTTAAGAGCTCCATGGGTTGTGTTTGCTGAACTGAAGCCTCTATCCCTGAGGATGGTGGGCACAGTTCAAAGAGTAGGCACCTGAGCAACCTGGCTGCAGCTGCATAGGTGGAAACTAGGAACCGTCTTTGTGGGAGTCTGGGGCTTATGGGTTAGGGTCTTCTGGAATGCCTCCCTGAAGAACTCCAGCACACTACCAACCCCCCAAGAGCCAGAAGGGGAAGGGAAGGGCTACAAATTGACTTGCTTCCCCTTCCCTCCCTTCTGGTCCTCCTTCACTCTGCCCTTCCTCTGCTCCTACCTCTACCGCTTCTCTCTCCTTCCTCCTTCTCCCTTCTTTTCTTCCTCCTCCCTTCCTTCTTCCTTCTGTTCTCCCATCCTCCTTAATAAGTAGTGATCATGAGCTGGGCGATGGTGGCACACGCCTTTAATCCCAGCACTCAGGAAGCAGAGGTAGGTGGATCTCTGTGAGCTTGAGGCCAGCCTGGTCTTCAGAGTGAGTTCCACGACAGCTATGGCTACACAGAGAAACCCTGTCTCAGAAAACAAACAAACAAACAAATAGCGACCATGGTCAAAGCTTCACCTCTCTGGCCTCAAATTTCTCATTTGTAAAATGGTACTAAAAAATCTTGTCTATGCAGACTGAATTGGCGGGCCCCGATGTGGTGTGCCACCCATACAGCTGCTAGCCAGTAGCTACAAAGACAGCTGCCTGTACTGAGTGCAAGAACAGTGTAGGAACCCCGAACCTTCTCCAAGTCACCATGCTTGAAGCATAAACAGCCATTATCCCGCACCCAGGTGGTAGAAGATTATAGCTTTACTTTAGGAATCGGAGTCCAGCTGGTGATAGGGCGACACCTGCTGGTGAACAGGAGCTGTGCAGCTCACAGGCACATCGGGAAGAGGGCAGAAGGCAATCCACTCGCCCAGTGGACATGAGCCTTTTATATAACACTGTCACTCCGTGCCTAGTCCAAACGGTCTCTCTCCCTGGTCTGAGTTAATGTCCATCCCCTAGGCTTCCTGCCTGCCTGCCCATGGTTCTGTAGTCAGGAGGGGAGGAGTCTGTAGTTCTTCTCTTCCTTTTCTTTTCTTTGTTGTTTTTTTGTTTTCAATACAGGGTTTCTCTGTGTAACCCTGGCTGTCTGGAACTCACTCTGTACACACGGCTGGCCTCAAACTCAGAGATCTACCTGCCTCTGGCTCCCGAGTACTGGGGTCAAGGGCGGTGTCACCATAGCCCGACTTATCCTTTTCTTAGTTTTTAAAGTTTTTTGGTTCATGTGCACATGTATTTATCTATGTAAAGGTGTGCCCGTGGGAAGCCAGGAAACCTGAAGTCCAAACTCAGGTCCTCTCCAAGGTAGGCTATGCTCTAACTACTGAGTCATCGCTCTCGCTGGCCCCCACCCTTTTCTGAGAAGGATTTCATTCAGTCCCGGCTGGCCTCAAACAATTACTTTGAACTTCTGGCCTGCCTGCCACCACCCTCCAAGTCCTGGGATTACAGATGTGCATCTCCATGCTTGGTTTACGAGGTGCTGGGACTCAAATCCAGTGTTTCAGATGTGCTAGGCAAGTCTCTGCCTTAGCCTAGGCCATTATTGTTTTGGCTTTAAGACAGTCTTTCTATGTGATCCAGGCTAGCCTACAACTCTCAGTCTCTTGTGAGTCGGAATGACAGGTGGGGTGTGACATCCCATCCATCTTAGGGATTCTTTCTTTAATAAAAAAGATTGTTTATTTGTTGGTTGTATACAGTGTTCTGTCTGCATGTATCCCTGCCCACCAGAAGAGGGCACTAGATCTTACTACAGATGGTTGTGAGCCACCATGTGGTTGCTGGGAATTGAACTCAGGACCTCTGGAAGAGCAGCCAGTGCTATCAACCACTGAGCCACCCCTTTCTTTTTTTCTTAACAGGGTCACCCTTGCCCATCTCAAATTCCCTCTGTTGAGATGACTTTGAACCTGGTGGTCCTGCTTCCTTCTTCCAAGTGCTGGGGTGACAGGCCTATGTCTCCATGCCTGTCATGATGCTCCATTGCATTTCTGTACGATGCTCCATTGCATTTCTGTACACTGCTCCCTCTGCTCATCTGAGACAGACTCTCCTGTAGCCCAGGCTGGCCTCAGATTCACCCCGTACCTAACAGTGACCTTGCCCTTCCAACCCTGCTGTCACTTTATGGGTACGAAGATTACAGCTGTGTGCCACCGTGCCTGGTTTATTTGGTACTAGGGATTAAATTCAGTGCTTGGCTCATACGGGGTAAGCAGTTACCAACCGAGCTGCCTCTAGCCCCATCTCCCTCCTTTGAAGATGGAGTTTCCCAGAACCTATCCCCCCACCCCACCCCACCCCACTGCTCCACAGCCTTCCAGGCACCTCCCGGACTACACTTGAGCCAAGCTGACAGCAACTGGCCTGACCATCACACAGGGACACTGCCACTGAGGAGCTCTCCCTGGCTTGCTCTGGGATGAGGTATCTGTGATGGGTGGGTGAGTTTCCATAAGGAGAAAAAATTCCTTAGGGCTGGCTCTTTCTGTTTTTCAGCTCGCACGGCGTCCCTGTGTTATCTTTCAGGCATCTGAACTGGCCTGACCTTGGGGTCTTGACAGGATTCGTCCTCAGCTGCAGCCACTAAGAGCTTCGCCTGAGCCGCGAGCGCATTCACTACGTTCCCTTTTAAAAGGGCCCTGCCCACTTCCCATTCCTTCCTCTTTCTCTCTCTCTCCAAGCCCTGCACCAGGAAAGACACTTCTGTATCGTGTCACAGATCTGCTCAGCAATGCTCAAAACATTTATTTATTTGGTCACTTGCTCAACCCTCTCCCTTCCCTAGCGGCAGGAAGGCCGTGACGTCATCGGCAGCATCCTGTAGGGGAAGTAGAAGGTGCTTCGTTGGTACCATGCCTGGCCTTAGCTGAGAGCCTGGCAGAGGATGGGGAAGAGGACAGAGACGTGACTGGCTCTTACATCCTTCAACACATCCAGGATGCCTTCCTGGGCTCAGACTCCAAAGACTACTTGCATTCCCAGGCTCTCCCCCACCCCCACAGATCTGGCCAAACTACTCAGCCTGCCCACAGACACAGGAAGAGAGCGCTTGGAGTGAGCATTTAACTGTGTCCCAAGCTGCGTGCCTTTCAGTAGCTCCAGGCTTCAAGAAGCTCCTTTGGGCTTGAGGATCGTCCTGGGGACTCGGCGGACTGGCAGGGAGGGAAGCTGGAGCCGGGAGACCTCTGTCGGATGGCACGGTATCCTTGGTCCCGGCAAGAGGCCTGCAACTGAGCGGAAAGTCTTGAGTCCCACGCAGCGTGTTTTCTCCACAGAACATAACAAAAATCTTCATGGGCGGAGTGACACGTCCCTGGCTGGGTCTTGATGCTTGGTGTGGCACTGGGGGTGCCGCCAGGGAGACTTGCCTTCCAGTGGCACAGTCAATAACGACAGTGAGGTGAGCTGTGGGGACAGCCTTTTGGGGGCCCGCCGGCTGCATAGCTAAAAGGAAGGGAGAGGCCAGAAGTTTGGGTTAGCATAGTCAACTAAGTTGATTGCCTTGTTGATTTTGTGTGTAGACACACATGAGCCATGTTCTGCATGTGGAGGTCGGAGGACAACTCATGGAGTCTGTTCTTCGTTCTACAGCGTGGGTCTAGGGAATTGGACTCAGGTCAGACTTGGCAGCAAGCGTCTTTACCCACTCGGTACTCTCGCTGGCCCATTACCTAATACCTAAGTTTAAACTGTTTTCCCTGTCTCACCTGTTTGTGGGAACCTCATGCGTAGCCCCTGGGCATATCTTGCTCACATGGCCCAGGGAGTATCTTTACACAGCATTTGCAGGGGTGGGCTGTGGGCTGGGGAGACGACCCGAGTGGTCATATACTTTCTACACAAGCATGAGCCTAGACTCATGTCACATACAGAGAGAGAAAGAGAGAGAGAGAGAGAGAGAGAGAGAGAGAGAGAGAAAGAGAGAGAGAGAGAGTCTGTGTATCCTGGGACTTGTTCTGTAGACCAGCCTGGCCTCAGACTCTCAGAGATCCACCTGCCTCTGCCTCCCAGGTGCTGGGACTAAAGGTGTGCACCATCACGGTGCACAAAACCACTCCCCCTCAACACACAGACACAACTAAGTTAGGGAGACGGCTCAGAAGGCGAAATCGCTTACTGTGGCCTGACAACCCATGTGATCTCATCTGACAGTAGAATAAGACCAGCTCCGAAGCTGCTCTCTGACACCCTGCAAATAGTACCCCAGCTCTCTTCCCTACCTGGTGGGCCTACCTATCTTGGCCAGGTTCAGAGGACACGTATGCTCTGTTTATTGGTTGGTACAGGGCTGTGTGAAGTCCACACACCCCCAGTCATCAGCCCCACGCCTGCCACTCCTCCTCAGCTGGCCTTTTCCCTGGTGCTGAGAAGCCCTGTGCCACATCTTACCATAGCTCATCTCCAGGCTAGACTCCTTGAGGCTGGCTCCCCGGTCCTGGGGCTCTGTTGAGGAAACCCTGCTGCCACAGTCTGAGGCTGTCCTTGGATGTGTCTTCCCTCCACCCTGGGACCAAACCTTTCAGAGTTACGAGGGAGCCTCAGAACTGGCTCTAGGGGACTTGGTTGATCTGAAAGTTTGTATCAACAAATTGCTGGGTGTGGGAGAGGCAGGTTTCTCTATCTTTTTCCAATCTAACTGCTTCCTGACCTGGGATAGTTCTCTGGAAGTTTCCCAGTCAGGCCTCACTCCCCACCCCACCCCAATTCCAGCCATTAGCTGACCACTTCGGCTTCTTATTTATTATTTTTATTTGGTGGAAGGGCAGGGTTTCAATGTGCAGCTAGCTGTCCTTGAACTTCTTATTTTCTGGCCGCAGCCTCCCAGTGATGGAATGACTGGCTAGGGCCACCATCCCTAGGGCTATGTATGGTATGTCACACAGTCACACAAAAAGCACAGCTTTCATCTTAAAGGGAACAAGGGTTTATTCTGAAGCCATTTTGAGTGACCATGTTCTGCGAACACAGATTTAGGTTACCTTGAATTCCACATTCCAACACAGAAGCAGTTTCATGAAGTTTGTAGAGCTTCAGAGACCAGAAAGTCATAAACTAAGACAAGTTCAAAATACATTGGTGGGGCCGGGCCGTGGTGGCGCACGCCTTTAATCACGGCACTTGGGAGGTAGAGATAGGTGGATCTCTGAGTTCGAGCCAGCCTGGTTTACAAAAGCTAGTTCCAGGACAGGAACCAAAAGCTATAGAGAAACCCTGTCTCAACAAACCAAAAACAAACAAAACAAAACAAAACAAAAAATTGGTAGGTGCATTGTCGGGGGGGTGGGGGAGAAGCTTTTCTGAAGGCTCGAGATGCTATATCTGATGATGCTTATTTTGGATTGGTGGGAGCCAGTGGTCTGCTAAGTCAATAGATTCTAAAAGGGCTTTACCTATCGCCATAGAATGTTAGTTCCAACACAGGGGGAAGGCGGGGATGGCTGTTCCAGAGGGCCACAACTGAGCCCCTGATAAGGTGATTAGCCCCTGGGCCCACACATTCCAATCCTGTCACAGTGTTGAAACTCTAACCCACCAGGCTCTGCACACAGAATCTTTCCAGGAGTTTTCACTCACGGGTCCTCCTGTTGGCCAGCTATGACGTTCTGTTCATTCAGGACTACACAGTCTATTAACTATTACAAGGTCCTTCTTAGGTAGGAAGCACATTCCTAGCTTCAGGTAGGTGAGGCTCAGTCGTGGGCAGGACTGCAGTCTTCAGGAGACAGGAATTCCTGATAAAGGTCATTAAAGAAGAAACTCCTACAGGGTGGAGGTGGTACACTCCTTTAATCCCAGCACTTGGGAGGAAGAGGCGGGCAGAGATCTGGAGTTTGAGGCTAGCCTGGTCTACAGAGCAAGCTCCAGGATAAGAAAGTAAGCCTCTGTATCAGAAGTGTTTGCCGTTATGAGCTATGTATGAATTGTTTTCTACACCTTCTGTAGCTGGCATGTGACATAGGTTGTTATACTGTGATGCACGATTAATAGAAGCTCAGAGAGAGAAATTGGGGTTCAACCTGAAGGTCAGAAAAGCAAAACAGCCAATCACTGGCTACTACCTCTACCTCAGTCCAAAATGGCGATCCTACCTAAAATAACCAAAATTTACGAGACTGACTATATAGTTCCCCTGTATTTACAGTTGTTTGCATTCTATGAACTATTTTACACACACACATGCACACACATAAGCGTATATTACTTTTCTATTCTTTCGAGACAGGGTTTCTCTGTGTAGCCCTTGTGTTATTTCTTTATCTAACAGACCAATGTTTATAAGGAAATTTAAATATTTGTCCAGCAGAACCATGTTTACAATCACTATGTAATTTAGCTGGACTATAGGCATCATTCTTTCAGCGGATTTTGTACACTTAAGGCAAGGACTATCTGAAAAGCAAAGGCTTTGTCTAACAAGAAAATATACTTAATTATAGGTTTTTCGAGACAGGGTTTCTCTGTAGCTTTGGTGTCTGTCCTGGAACTAGCTCTTGTAGACCAGGCTGGCCTCGAACTCCCAGAGATCCACCTACCTCTGCCTCCCGAGTGCTGGGATTAAAGGCGTGCGCCACCACCGCCCGGCTTAATTATAGGTTTTTAAATGTTCATTTAGCAAGAAAAAATCAGTACTTAAGGAAATACTGTGATAGAAATTTAAACAATTTTTGTTTGTTTTTTGCTTTGTTTTTGTTGTTTTGGTTTTGGTTTTTTTGAGACAGGGTTTTTGTGTAACTTTGGAGCCTGACCTGGAGCTCCCTCCATAGACCAGGCTGGCCTTGAACTCACAGAGATCTGCCTATCTCTGCCTCCTGGGTGTTAGGATTAAAGGTGTGTGCCACCGCAACCCGACAAATTTAAACAATTTATTTATTTTATTATTTATTTATTTATTTATTTTTTTGTTTTTTGAGACAGGGTTTCTCTGTGGCTTTGGAGCCTGTCCTGGAACTAGCTCTGTAGACCAGGCTGGTCTTGAACTCAAAGAGATCCGCCTGCCTCTGCCTCCCGAATGCTGGGATTAAAGGCGTGCGCCACCGTCGCCCGGCAAATTTAAACAATTTTATCTCAGGATACTGAATTAATTAAAAAAAATATGTACTTTATATTTTAGTTACAGATATAGCTATCTTTAATACCATTCATAACATTTTAATCTTAACATTATTAACATTATTTAGGAATTTAGCAATCAATTTCAAAGAGGTAATTTTAATAATTTTTTTTTTTCGAGACAAGGTTTCTCTGTGGCTTTGGAGCCTGTCCTGGAACTAGCTCTTGTAGACCAGGCTGGCCTCGAACTCACAGAGATTCGCCTGCCTCTGCCCCCCAAGTGCTAGGATTAAAGGTGTGTGCCACCACCGCCTGGCCAAAGGTAATTTTAAACAAAAGCTCAAGAGGCTGTGAAATGATCCATATGAAATAGTTATTGAGCCGGGCGGTGGTGGCATGATTTCACAGGCATGATTCCAGTTTGGATTGCCACCATCTTTGGGCAGTCGTGTGTCTGGCAGCTAGGGTTAGGGAAGGAAGATGGACGTCATGTGATTTCACTGCCATCACCTTGATTAAAGGTGACCGTGGGGAGTGTGCCTACCAAAGAGGCAAAAATGGGTCTCCAAGATACTTTGATTGGGATGGATTTTTTTTTTGTTTTTTTTTTTGTTTTTCGAGACAGGGTTTCTCTGTGGCTTTGGAGCCTGTCCTGGAACTAGCTCTGTAGACCAGACTGGTCTCGAACTCACAGAGATCCGCCTACCTCTGCCTCCCGAGTGCTGGGATTAAAGGCGTGCGCCACCATCGCCCGGCTTGGGATGGATTTTTATATGAAATTCCTGTCCTGTCATGAAAACAAGGTTTGTGAAAGATAGGATTTAAAAACAATGCTTGTTAATAACATGAAAGCTGCACCTCCCTGCATTCATATGCAATAATGTACCTTGCGCTGACCTTAACTTTTTAAGATTCACCCAGCTGACAATGGTTTTAAAGACATGAAGGAATCGTGGGGAACAGCTGAGGTCTGCAAAAGTATGGCAGGGCTAGAGTTCGTGAAGAGCCCAATGGTGTTCACGAGCAGTTTTAGAAATGCTAGCCCTATGTTATAAGCATCATAAGCACCAGCCACAACGAAATGGAGCAGGCTGGGGAACTAGAAGGCAGGCTATGTATATGCTCTCAAGGGTGGGGTCACAGATGCTTTAAGTCTCTCCAGAAAACCTAAAGGATTTTGAATGAATCCCAGATCTTGAGCTTTGAATTGTTTCCACTATTGGAGCTTGGCTTTACGTTATGCAGATTGTGACTGTGCCCTATATCGTCTTTCTTAAAGTTAAAAAAGGTACTTTATTTTCGATATTGTAAAAATACACAGGAGAGAATTTAACTTCTTTAAGAGAAAACTTTAGAGTTTTACAGAAAATTTAAAAGCCAGGTTTTTTTTTTTT